AGGTCTTCTTGACAAGGCTAAACTCTGTGATTTGGAATCATTACCTCCAGCCTGAAGAGTGGGAAAAACAATGGCATGAGGTATTAGCTGATTATGAGCTGGATTCTGATTCATGGTTTTGTAATCTTTTTGCTATTCGAGCAAAGCGCATTAAGAGTGCTAAAGAGGTCCAAATCGAGCAAAGCAAGAAGAACAAACGGATGTGTCGAACTTGCAAAGAATTAGGATATCATGATAGTAGGAATTGTCCAATGAATCAGTCGATGTAATATAAATCTTCCTACACAGCTTATAACTTTTTGTCATCTTTTCAACTTTCATTATAACGTCACATGCCATTTCTTTGTCCATCACTTGTTTATTACTACAATTTTGACTAATATGCTAATTACAAATAAATCAATGCATGCACTGTACATATTTCCACTACATCAAAATCCAGTACCACCTCACGCACTTCACGCACCGATGGCTCTAATAGTTCATGTATAAACTTCGAAGACCATAAACATCGGACGATTGTGAATGTTAAAAAACCGAGACCCAGATTTTCTCCAAAACGCACCTACATATACTGTGGAAATCTCTACCATGCAATAAACATATACAACAATGCACTAAAACCATTCCAAAACGCACTTACAAGACAAAACCTTGGAACAATTTCTGCACCAATCATGTTCTAACACTTTGAGTAGTTTGAAATTCACCTACGTCTTCTCCCTACTAGATATACATCTGACCGAATTCACCACCATTGAAATACGTACCTCATTGAACACGTACTACATTGCACTAAAACCATTCTAGAATGCTTTAATAATACAAGCTCATGCAACAATTTATGCACCGATCACGTTTCAATACACAGACAATATTTCAGTACTCTTGCACAAATACACCAATCATGAGTACTATGCACTCTTTTTTATCCCACATTCATTTCTAATTTCACTATTCAATGACAATATTCTCATGTCAACTTTATGTAAAATAAAAATGCAAACAAACTACTCATTAATAGTCACTGACATCCACTTAATTTAATACTTGAATTCTTCAGAAATACCAAAAATTATGTCTATCTATGATCATACTGAGGAATAAATCTACCCCATCTACAAAAACGAACAAGCCAGCATTGACTCACTCAGGGGTTGCTCCTTGAATCAAATTTCAAAATGATACGAAACTAGAAATTCTAGAACAAACAAAAAAGAGCTCATAATCCCCATGCAGAGTTAGGCATAAAAAAACATGAATTATAAACCATTCTCGCAGTCTTCAATGACTAGAGTGCTTCACTAGATGCCTTATCTTGTCCTTAACCTCGTTGACATCTGATTTTACGATCGCAGCACAATACTTTGTCCAAAGTGCATTCACAGCTTTCTCATCCCCCTTTTTCAGTCCACAGTCCCACTGCTTCAATGCTTGGCCTGTGTACGTCTCCATATGCCGCATGGTAATCACACCATAATCAAATACATCAGTCGAATCTCTCCACGCGAGTTGCAACCGTTTTGGTTCTTGAGCCTTCAGCTTCTCGACCCGGCCATCCAGACCTTTACTCTTGAAATATTCTACGACCATGTCTTGCTGCAAGCAAAGGGACGATAAAAGATTACAATAATGAAACACATACATATCTGGCATTTCTACTCATTACATTATAAAAGATCTCTATCCCCCTAAAACATTTGGGTGATGCCTTGTCAATGTATACTTACAACAACGTTTGGCATGTTTTCATATTTATCACTCTTTGTGACGCCGGCTGATGAGCTGTCCAGGATATCAACTCTATTCCCCTTCAGATTCACACATATGCAATAACACCAACGGTGTTGCATTACAGGGAACATTATCTGCACATTTCACAGCATATTATGCATTCCAACAGTCTATGCATATTATATAAATAAACACGCCAACATCGTAAATAATAGTGATAAACAGACATCAATAATCTCACCATATCAGCGTCACATGGATTAGTCAAGCTCCATCCATCACTGCCTTGTCCGTCCCCGTCACCCCCATCTATGTCATCAGTGCCTTCTGCATCACCATCACTCTCTGTACTTGATGGGGATGCACTTTTACCAACACCATCTGCATGCTCTACAATCTGCTTTTCTTGCATATTCTCATTATGCAAATTGTCTCTCTCACCATCCACTTTGTCATTTACTTCAATCTCTGCCCTTCCTTTTTTTGATTCATCCCTAAGACATTCAACTTCATCAGACCCCCCACTTTGAAGCGACTCATCACCAACGAGATCGATTTCAACAGGCCCCGCATGCAGCTTGTTTTTCATTCTGAACATAACGCTCAGCAACCTTCCACTTCTCCTTCGTGGAGTGCTATCTTGTGTTTTGAGTACCTTCTTTTTACATCTCTTAAGGAATAGGTGCTGCACTGCTGTGAAGATCACAAAGACATGAAAAACATTAGACCATAACTACAAAATCCTTACTCATGCTATAAGGATGTTTGATAATCCATACTTGTTAACTTCTCATGCAAATTCTGATACTTGTTCATGCTGTTATTTACAATTTTTTTATTTCAATAACAATGCTCTACTCTGTTTCTTTACATCAATTTATTTAAACAAACAATAAAGGTAATGCATACACAACATAATATTTTCAAATCAGAAATCCTAAATCTTTTGCACTACAAACTGCCCAAAATGAAAACAGACAAGCATCAAAGCCAGCAGCAATGATGAAGGAAGACATATGCAATTCAGAACACATACGATGCATATCCAAACATTAATTTAGACTGTTTATCCAACCACACATCATGCATCTAATTAACCAATGTAATCCTCATCCTAATGAAGTTAATGCACATAGTTTTACATCAAAATCACTGCAAATAGCTCAAAACAAAATTAAGGGTGCTTTCCATGCTTTTCAAAAGAACGTAGAGAATACATAAACCACCTAATACTCCCCTGAAATTTATGCAAATGTGGGATACTTATCCATGCTTTTAAATAGAATTTTCTTTTGCAATTAATTGCACATAAATGCTATTTCATGGACAAT